GCGCCCCCGAATTATGTAAAACCGACTGGTCTCGTTTCTGTCAGAAATTTGAAGTTGAAAAATGACGCACAGTGTTATTGTTAATGACATTTTATTACTTACGACTGAAAGAACCATTACATATTTATTCTTCTTGTTTTCCGGAAGAATAATTACACCGAGGGTCATGATTCTCCTTTTTTGTTACTTGAGTAAACCGTTGAAATGTGCTGAGGATATTTATTTCATTCAAGTGGAGGAATCATATGAGAAAAAAAATGCCAAGCATTGACACTGGCATAGCGAAAGCATGAAACGTAGCGACCAAAAATAGTAAATATTTCTTTGAATACCATAACAATTCTATTCTCAGATGTATTAATATGTGTGCGTTATTTTGAGTGATTTGCCCCTTGCGCCCTCGTCGCTTCGTTGCTCAAACATTTACTGCGTTCATGACGATGATGATGATGATAGTGAGATTTGGTGTGAATTTTTCGTCTCATAAGAATGAGAAAATACAAAATAGTCAATCGGGTAATTCTTATTCATTGGTTATTCGAAACTTTTTTTTTTTGGTTTGATTAGAATAGATGACAATAAATGCTTCACTAGCAAATCGGGTAAATGGTATCAATATGATAATTTAATTTTTAAAGAGGATAAGAAATTGATTCATATAATCTACTCAATCGATATTATTGAAAGTGTCCCATTCAATAAGAATATCTTACTGCCGACAAATCACGAACAATTGGCATTTTTGAAGTAATTGAAACAAATTGACATTTTTCCCATATGCATTGTTACATTTTCACGTTGAATGCTGTTCCAGTCAAATGGGAAGTGAAATCAATTGAATTGATTGAAAAAGGACGCAATTGAGGATGGGCAGTATAATTTCGGTCGATGTCAAATTTCACGAAGGACGGAAGGACTCCATAGAGTGACTCGATTGATTTAAATTGTACATATTTTGTATATTTCAGTGAGATATACTTTGGTTGTGTACTAATTTCGGGTGAACATTCAAAGTATTGTGATGTTTTCATTTTTAAGAAAGTCAAAGAAGCGATAAGATTACTGCCTAAAATAATGAAAAAATAAAATTCACTAGTTAGCGCTACATTCTATATAATAAGCGTATACTTAGTCCGTTGCAACGGAAAACAAGTTTGCATAGAATGCAGCGCCAACTATATGTGAATTTTATTTTTTATCATTTTAGGCAATAAATCTATGGTTTTCTTATGGCTTCTTTCATTGAAGAATTAAATTATTGTTGCTCATGTATAAAAGAAGACGGTCGGTTCCAAAAAAACACCGAGTGTTCTGAATTATATTCATTTGATTTGAACAAGGATTGCCAATTAATTTTGATGCATTTTGGTCAAATCTCAATAGCGCTTTAAATGAAAAATATCATTATTTATATAAATTTGGTATTCAAATCAAATTATGGGTAAATGTGTTTGATTAACAATTATTCAATATTGATGACAAAATTGTTTGATTTGAAAAAACTCAATCTACAACCGATTTGGACCATTTAACAAAATTGTTCAAATCTCCATGAAATTCTTCGGTATTCAATTTATTGTCAATACTAAATGAGGTTGGCTATGAACACATATTTTGTTTCGTATACGATGCAGGATACCACAGCGGAAACTAAATGTATAGTCAATTTTAACTTTAACCCATTCTGGAAACGGTGCCAATGTAGATTTAAAGAAAGCCAATGTTCTTTTTTTTTCATTTCAACTTCTATAGTTTAGTAATGAAAATAATTTAATTACGATAATTCGAAAATAATATTTCGAAGTAGCAGTATTTGGATTGTTGGCATTTTTCTAATTTCAAACAAGCCAAAACGGGTTAAAGTCATATTCCTCTGTCCGAACAAAATTGCTGTGCTCGGTTTCAGTAACTCCATCATATGCAGAAAGAGTGAAAGGAGTACCATATGTAGATATGTTCCCTTTCGAAACTTACTTTTTTTTTATTCTAGAATCGATATCCGATTCAAATTATTTCCAATAATTTTATTCACAGCTCATGAACAAAACCGCAATTTGTTTATATGGAAATTGGTTACAAATAAAATGGTGCAACATTGCTACGGCTTTGTTGAATATGAACACAAAGAGAAATAACCAGTGCTAAAAAAATGAAGAGAGAGAGAGAGAGAAGGACAAAATTCTATTTTTACATCAACCAAACTAAAAATCAATGTTATATGGCGTAATACATATTTAGTCTTCATTCGCACATTTTCAATTTGTTTGATTGAAGAATCTGGCATGAAGCACACTTTAGAGACAGAATGTGCGATCTGTTCTCTTATTCTTTTTTTTATTGTTTCACATCATAGTTTTAAAGCCCAACCCATGTGCAAGAACGTTCATCACAAATAAGTGAACAATGTCTTGGACCAAATTTCATCTAACCTTAAAACTTTCTGAAAGACAATAACTCATTGTGTATAGTATACATGCTCAGTTCTTTTCAAAAAGTCTATGCTTCACCGACAGATGTGACCAATGGTTAAATTAGTCCCACATACGTTTTATAACTCATACAATTTTTTTTAGTATGCTTTGAAAGGTATGCTTAATTGCGAATTTCGTACGCATGTGTGATGCTTTTACAAAATAGATGCAAAGTTTTTCATCAAATAAGTAAAATCATGCCTTATGCCTTAATATCGTATAGGGAAAATAGTTAACGTCAATAAAAGTATTCACAATTACCCATTTTATTCACATTTTATCGCTCGAGAATCGAATAAGAGGTACGGAAAGCATTCAGGCGCTCGCCAATAAAAACACCAAAACAACGTGATGAGTATTCAAATCATATTGCACATGGTAATAAAATTTTGTCATTGTATTTCTACCACATATTGGTCGAGTACACACTTTTCGGTGCCGTACCGATGCGGCACATTTTCCTTCGTATAATAATAATAATAATATTGAAGCTCGATGAATGAATAACACTCTCACATACACCATGCATGCCAAGCCGGTTCCAATGCTGTTTCTTTGTTCTATTCAATTTAGTTCAATGCGTCTATTCCATTACATTCCATTTCTTATGATTTTCAAGCTACATTTTCATTTGGCATGAAATTTCAAACATGTGAAGAAAATAAAAACAAAATTATGTTCAGCATAATGTAACGTTTATGCCGATAGTTATGGAATTGAGAAAGTATGACCATTTCTCTTTCTCTGATTGAACTAAAAACCATACATATATTTTATGTTTGAATCAGACATTATAATGAGATATTTTCAGCCAGATGAATCAGCTCAGCCAGATATCGTCAGAAGCTGAAATGGAGTGAAAACAATAAAAGTGATTGTTATAGTGATTGTAGCAATGTAAGTGTAATTATAATAATCACTTCTATTGTTTTCACTAAATTTCAGCTCCTGACGATATCTGGCTGAGCTGATTCATCTGGCTGAAAATATCTCATTATAATGTCTGAAGCAAGTACTTTTCTTTTGCCACATTAATGCATGCATGCATGCATGCATACATACACACACACACATTGAACAACATTCTACAAGACTGGCTACTGTTCATATGCTTCGGTTTGAACATCGTATACTTAAGTGTTCACATATATTAACGGAGATTTCTACACTTGTTCGCGGGCGAGATACATTTTTACTGGCATTGTATCATGTCTGAATGGCTTCAATTTGAATTTAAATGAAATGAGAAAAAAACACACAACAAATGCACCTCTTATACTGGTGCAACACAAATGTAAATTTACGTAAGGTAGAGTGTGCCTTAAGATAATGTGCGAGCAAATATATAATGTTCTGATTTTAGTAACATCTTCAGATGTGATATACTTCATTTTTTTCGTGCAATCGCACACGAATTTTCTATTCACACATCAGCTCATTATTCGTGTTTGCCAAAATAGAAGTATGATGAACATACGAAAAAGCGTTAAAACCGAAAATTGTAGAATCATGATGATAAATTTTGATGTGGTCATAGTTTCACGATAAACGGCAATCCAGCCGCAGTTAAAAGGTAACAATGAAAGGAAAAAAAAAACATTTTTGAAGCAAAACGCCAAAAGAAACACTTGAAAAAAGCAAAAAATATAACTCAGAAACCTTGCAGCAATAAGAGCATAACACACGATGCAATAGTGATAGCAAAGAACAACGGTGGCGGCATACAAATCGATGCAAACATACATTTCGCTTTGTAAAATACACTCCAAAACTGCGAATACGAATCGGTATATCCAAATGGTGCTACAATAGAATGTGTGCAGAAAGGAGACCGCACAGCTAAACAAATGTGAGACTATTGAATGAACGAGAGATAAAGAGGGGCAACGAAAAAGAGCGCGTGCGACTCTCACAGTGCGTAAATATGCTTTCTGTATGCTGGGTTCATTGTGTGCGAGTTCGTTTGAATGGATAAAAACGAATTTATGGAACTGATCTTAATGCTGCTTTCTTGTTGTATATATTTCTTCGCTATCATCAGTTGCCGGTTAAACGTCGTTGCAAGTGGATCGCTTCGTTCGACGCTCGTTCATACATTCATTTCTTGCGCATAATTCGTACGTTCGTATATTCACAACGTATTCGACATCGGTGTTTCGATGTTAATGTGGTATATTTTGAGTGAGTTGATTACAAACCATAACAAAATGTATTAATCATATAAAATTCGTTGAATTACGATTAAAAAACAAAAAAATAAATATAATACCATCGAAAAATTAATTTCAACGCAAAAATATTTTTGAATATTATGTGGAAAATTGAATGAATTTGTTTAAAAAGACCATTCATGTTAAATTTTGCAAATACGATTTATTTAAACAATCATTTTGAACCGCAATTTTCACTTGTTCTGATTTTTTTTGCATTTATACAGTCAATACAGACATAAAAAACATTTTATAAACAAATTAATTTGAATTCAAATAAAACATTGAAATTAACAATAAAATTTAAAAGAAGTATCACTCCAGTGCTCCAAATTTGTAAACTATTTATTTAGAAACATAACAGCAAAAAAATGTTCGATATATGTTTAACGTATGACCAAAACAGATAATGAGTTTATAAATACAGTGCAATAAATGCATACGAAGTGAAAATTGACGCTGAACTGAATCATTTGATTGAAAAGAGAGAAACATTGTATGCAAAGTAATTTAACAGCATAATCAAATTTGTATCATTCGTGTGTTTATAAAAGTTGATTTAATTTAAACAAACGATCAAAAATGCACTAAAATATTTCAATGTACTAAAAAAACAAGTGCATACCAGACACACCAATAAATTTGAAACCGAAACGAAAAAAAAGAGTCAATAACAGTGACACACTGTGACGAAATTCGCAAGGGTGGTTTATTCAAAGTGCTATCAAAATCAAGAGCATAAAACGAGAAACGAACACAGTCCAAAGCGTGGATTAATTTCGTTTTCGTCATCGGCAGATACATGGTGCGAAAAAGTCATCAAAGAACATAACGAAGCGCAATACTGAAGGCGACCGATTTGAATGAGCCGACGATTCGGATTAAATCTTAATATTGTTGATTGTAAATGGTGCGTGTTATTTCCGATAGCATTGGCTGGTTAGTATTCGCAGCGTATTAAAACATCTATATTATTAAGCTCTTTAGATCTTGATAACCACTTTAAATGGCAGAGTTGAGGGCATTCAGGCGGCTGACAAGAGAGCCACCGATATACTCTCAATTTCAACGCTCAAGAACATATCATATTTCCCCGAATTGAATAACTCAGTGCATTGTACAGTATGTGCTATGTATTTATCTATTCAGTTAAACTCTTGCAATAGAAATAGAGAGATAGATAGACGACTCTCTTGTATATATATATATACCCATAAACTGGTATTTGCGATAGCGAATGAGTGAGTGCGGAAAATGTGCGTAAAAATACCATTTAACAGGTTGATTTATTGAGACTATATAAATGCGTTCATTTTCTTTTCCATCATTTTCTCACCCCGACAATTGGTGAACATGCACTTTCGCAAATCTCTTCAATCATTCCCCTTACCAAATATTCATTTCAACAAATGAATGAATAAATAAGAGAGAAAAAAAGATAAATAACTTAAAGTGACATAAACACCAAGACAACGTTGTGACTTAGCGATTGCATTCCAATTCGTGCCAAGCATCCCTCAAATGTTTTTCGTGTGTATTGTGAGGAGTGTTTACGGTTAATGGTATTTGCCCTTCGACAGATAGGTCAACAGCTGGTGCTAGTTTTCCTGGTTTGTATTCTTTCATTAAATTATCAAATTCAATAAGTTCCTTGTTCATGGGGTCAATCACGAAATTCTAGTGAATCTAGTTTTTGATAAGATTTCACTAGAAAACTAGAAGCTTCTAGTGCGTGAAGTTGGCTCTCAGTAGTTTTTCATATAAATTATATGGCCGTTATTGTGAAGTTGGCTTCGTTTGTGATGTCATTCTTTGCACTAGATTTACTAGTTTTTCTAGTATTCACTAGCGTGATTCGCCCCATGTCCTTGTTCATCAGCAATTCCTCGTCTTTTCAACGCAAGCATATATATATATAATATATATATTTGTTCGTGCGTCCCCTCGTCGTATTCATCGCACATTGACTTCACAAAAAGTGAGATTCTGTTTGTTCCTATATTTGTTTGTCTGTAATTGGATGCAGAGGCTTGTCATGGCGTAAATTAAATTATTGTTGCTTCACTTGAAAGGTGAACGGTGTGATACGAGTGTGTAATGTATTTATCGCAAGTAAAATGGCATCTATATAACACTTCGAATCGATGCCAGTTTTCTTCTACATTTAAAATTTCTGATGGAATGCATGTGCACACGGATATCCAATATGTATTAATTCACCATTTATGACTTTTTAACCGCTTGTAATCAAAGCAGCGTTCGAAATCAAATAAATTGTTTATTCAATTCAATTTCCATTACAAACAAAACACGAAATTATTGTCGGAGCAAATAAACATACTTTAAATGAATATAAATGTCTGAAGTGATGTCGACATATTACTGGAATTTTATTTAAAGAAGATTCATTCAATGCGATTGTAAACAAATACTATACGGTCAAATGTGAATATAGTGTTTTTTTTTTTCAGTTATTTTCATTCTGTTACAAATAAGAACATTATGTGTATAGTTGAAAGTGTTCAGTGAAGTTCTTTTAAATAGGGCCAATGGCCACATTCTTACTCGTAAAACGTATTTGATTTGTTTTTATCGAAAAAGTAATTTAATGTGTGAAATAGAAGAGGAAATAGAAAATCATCACCATACATCCCGGCATGCATAGTTAACTAGCTCCAAATCAAATATCAAACGTAATCAACATTAAGCTCAACCGAAACTACCTATTTATAGTTTGAACCACATGTATGATACACTTACACATTCACCGTTTCATACATTCGATACAGTTTGAAATCAAAATAAGCGTCAGCTTGGACATACATTTGTATAATTTTCAACATTTTCTGTGTTATTCCGTTTATTTTCGATTCCATTTAATTTACATCCATACGCATTCAAATAGATATATACCAACACCAGAGTGTGCACACTCATATATATTTTGATTGTGATTTATGTGGTGTTTTTTTTTCTCTTCACGGCTTCACTAAAGATATATTAACTGAATCTTAAATCGACAGCACATTGATAACAGAAACTAAAAACTAATTGATTTTTGATCAATATCTTGTAATATTTTGCAAGCCATGCAATTTATACGACATTTTGATTTCAATCCATTATAAACATGAGACAATCTCGATATGTTTTAGTACCATTGCGCATGCAATAAGTAATTGTGTCTGAAAAAATTTTCGACAACAGTCGGCAATGAATATGAAGAGAACGTTCAATATAGTTACAATTTACTCTCCAGTAATAATAGCCACAGGTGGTATTGTTCTTTTTGTTTAATTTTTTGTTATATGTGAGCTGAATATATGAGACAATGAGAATGAATACCGCATAATATATTCAGCAAAGCAAAGCGGTCAAATATCTCACAGAAAAAAATCCTCCGATTTGTGGCTTGTGTGATTTTTAGTGCGTGATGCGTGATTATAATAACAAAATATTATTTTCTTCACGAATGTTCATGTATATGTTCACTTTAACTTACGCTGTATTTATCAATCCATTTTTGATAGTTGCTTGACGGTTCAAATATGAAAGTATTAATAATAATACAAACAGCGTTCCTTCGCGTTGGTGGTTTATTCAATATAATTTAAATAAATATGTATTTAAATCATTTTCATCAATTGCATTCCTGCAATCATTCATTTTTGCAATTCTGAGATAGATAAATAATAGTCTTTTATATCTCTTAATTTTACGCGCTTTTTAAAAAAATTCAAAGTTATCATCTATTCTGTTTTAAATAATTTTCCATTCTTATTTTAAAAACAACTTGCCGATTATTTCTTTCAAGTTAGTTGCATCAAAATTGTTAATTGAAAATCCGGGGAATCCCTGCAAAATTTATTTTTTCAACCAAAACAAAAATATTGGCAACGGGAAATCTTTGAAATATATTTCGATTTTCACAAAAATGACTTGATTTTCAATGTAAGTTCAATAAATGATGTTTCTATTTTTGATAAGCTGGATTTGTCAATATTAAAAATTCAAAAAAAAATCAACACATTTGAAGAGAAAAAAACCCAAAATTATGGAAGTTATTTGTTGAAAAATCGTCGAAAACAGTAAAAAAAATTCGGGGCGAAATCCGGAGTTTTTCCGCCATATCCGGGCATCCGGGCCGGGCGATTTTTCATCCGGCTTTGGTCTCGAAAATCCGGGCGAACCCGGATTTATCCGGGCGAACCCGGATTTATCCGGGCGATCTGGCAGGCTTACTCTAAACCAATCAAATTGGTATCACTGGTAAGCAATAGGTTCAAATTTAGTATAGTCTCTCCTTCGTATTGGTATATCAACAAATGGTGTTTTACGTGTATTATGTGCGGAATCATAATAGATCAAACTATTCGATATATGAGTTGACTTCATATCACCATGAAAAATTTTGAAGATGAAAGACACTCGCGCCACCTTGCGTCTCTCTGCAAGCGTAATCATTTGTAGAAACGGCAGTCTACGCTCATATTTTGGTAGTTTGTAACTGTCCCAGTTCATTCTCCTTAGCGCGAACAGTAAAAATTGTCGTAGTGTGAGTTCCATATTTCTGCTCCATATTCGATAATTGGTAATACAAATGTAAAATAAAGGCGTTTGATTGTCCATGAGTCGACAAAATCCTTGCTGTTGAACTTTAACAACGCCACTCTTGATTTGGCTTTAGCTGTGCTCAACATGCTCAACGTGTGACTTGAAACTTATTTACACATCAAGCAACACTTTCAAGTCCATTCTCAAGTAGATACTAATTGTTTAGTTGTTGCTGTAACTTTTATTCAAATGTGCATTGCAATCAAATGTTCCAAAATGTAAACCCTATCTGATTCACCAACTTCAATTTCTAATGGATTGCCAAAGAAACGTTGAAGAGACTACCATACACACGTGCGTCATCACACACCGCACGGTTTTGCATCCGGCAGAAATATCCATAGCAATCATAAGTCGCAAGCACACACTTTTTTCTGCTGTCGTTTTAATTATATCATCCCCTTCGATTGTTTGTTATCCAATCTTGTTGTTCGTATTGTTGCTTTCACTCTGAATAGCGAACATGATGTGGTCCAGAGCAGTAGAATTCCAACCGAAGTCATAACGAAATAAAATGAATATAAAGACCAACAATCAGAGCAACACAATGCTGTAATTGCATTAAAAGAGTTCGTTTGCCTTGTTTTTACCTGCGTTCAACGGTTGTCTTCGTCGTTTACCATTTTGGGCCGATTTAATTATAGAACAGAAAAGCAGAAGAAGAAATGAAGGATTATGATGAGCCAAAGCGCAAATCGACAATAACAAGGCGAAAAATAAAAAGCAAAATGGATGTGTGCACAAGAGTCAGAAACAGGAGTGCCAGCATCATTCGTTGATTTAGATGCTATAAAACTGTGATGCGTTTAATTTACTTTATACGTGTACTTGTACAATGTACGTGCAATGCTTAATCATATTAATTTTTATTCTTGGCACATAACGAATTCATTCTGAAAATTGAAATAAATTCAATTATCGATGAATAAATTCCAAAATGATGATTGAAAATTACAGTTGTGATTGGTTGGGCCACCACAATCGATTGCCATTTAATTATGAGAAATGAGAATAGGATGGTATTATACCATTGGTATGCTCCAAATCCCAATGCAATGCAATTTTTATCGGGTGTTTGAAACGTCAAACCACCAGTGCATTATAGGGCGAATGAGAGATAGAGACACCAATGAGTTGGGGCGCATATAAAAATGCACGATTTTATTCGTAATAATAAATATACTGGCTACAGAATTATAATTGATATGGTCGAGTGAGTGCGTGTTATAATTAAAATGGGCTGCCTTTTTTTCTCTTTTAAATTTAAAATCAAATAAATAATAATCATATATCATGTAGAAAAACCGCCAATTTACAAATTTACG